GAAATGAGGGATATCATTGCTGACACCAGATGGATGTTGGCTGAAAATAGAGAATACCAGAAAGATGTTTGTCTGTGCTTTATAGTCAATAAACCACAGGCAAACAACTATGCATAGGTTTTCAACTGTGTGGATCATGACAAGCTATAAACATTGCAGAGAACGAGTATTTCAGAACCCTTAATTGTGCTCTTGAGGATTCTGTACATAGACCAAGAGGCAGTCATTCAAACAAAACTAGGGGACACCAAATGGTTTTAAATCAGGCAAGGTACACACCAGGGTTGTGTTCCAGAATGTGGCATCAGGATTTGAGGAAGACTATTAACAACCTGTGACATGCAAATGATACAACCTTGCTTGTGAAGAGGACTTTAAATACTTACTGATGAAGGTCAAAGACCACAGCTTTCAGTATGGGTTGCACCTCTCTGTAATAAAAACAAAAATCCTCACCACTGGACCAATAAATAACATCCTTATAAATGAAGAAAAGATTGAAGTTGTCAAAAAAGACTTCATTTTGCTTGGATCCACACCATCAGCACTCATGGAGGAAGCAGTCAGGAAAACAAATGCCATACTACATTAGACAGATGTGTTGTACTAGACCTCTTTAAAGTGTTCAAAAGCCCAAAGACTAAAGTGCACTTCACCTAAGCCATGATATTTTCAGTAGTTTCGTGTGCATGTGAAAGTGAACAGTTACTAAGGAAGACCTTATAAGAATTGATGCATTTGAGCTATGGTGTTGGAGAAGCATATTAAAAGTACCATGGATGGCTAAAAGAACAAACAAATCTGTGTTGGAAAAAGTACAATCAGAATGCTCCTTAGAAGCCAGGATGGAGAGACTTCGTCTTTCATACTTTAAACATATTATCAGGAGGGACCAGTCTCTGGAGAAGGACATCATGCTTGCTGAAGTGGAGAGTCAGTGAAAAAAGAGACCTTCCACCCCTCAACAGGATGGATTGGCACAGTGGCAGCAGCAGTGGGCTCAAGCTTGAAAACCAATTGTGAGGCTGGTACAGGATTGGGCAGTGTTTCAATCTGTGCCTAAAGTCTCTATGAGTCGGAACCATCTAGTGATGGCACTTAACAACAGAAACATCTGATGGACATTCCATATTCAAATACCTTGTTTTTTTGTAGATTAAAAATTTTTTTAATCCTAGATTAAAGCCTCTAGCCACCTGTGACTGTTGAGCACTTGAAATATGTCTAGTAGACAGAAGATATGAATTTTATTTAATTTAAATATGTGACTGCTATATTGGACAGCACAGATCTAGAACATTTATCTCAATATTTTTAAAATCTATTATGTGACAATCCCATTTATGAAGCATCAATCTGGATTTAGGTAATTTTTTTGCTCATAATTAAGCTCACTCTAAATGGTTTTGACAAGAATACATACATATCTTTGGAGTGAGCGTGCCTGAGGGAGCCAGCATTCACCGAAGACCCACCTGAAAGAGGGATGTCATCTGCATCTCCATTGAGGCCCCCCCCCCCG